TATTTACATATACATACACAAATAACAATAAAATATAAAAGATTTATGAGGGAGATACCGAACAATAATAATAAGAAAAAATAAAAAAAACTCATTTATGAAAGTTTTTAAGGATAGTTAACGGTGGGATCTTCATTTACAAGACGCATAAGATGATAAACCGGGTAGCTTAAAACACAGTTGAATGGAGAAAAAATGAATAAAGAAGAGAGGGGGGAGTGTTCCCTGTAAGCGAAAGAGGGACATTAAAATTGATTTACAAAAAGAGCATAGGACAGTCGATTGAACGTTGATAATTTCATCAATCGCCATCAATATTAAACGACACTTGGTGTCTGGTGAACGAAAGGGTGAGTGTTAAGTGACGATTGTGTCGTGTATATAGAATGTATGTTGTACAATATTATAATCATTTATTGTCGGTCGGAGAAAGGTTTTCGAAAAACCTATCAACACGTGAAGCGAGTATAACTGCAAAGTGCGTACCTTGTGTGCTCGCCGTGAAACATATAATATACTAATAATCAGCAGAAAAATACTCTCCTACTGGTGATGGGTTTTTTGTTTAGTTACAACATATGAGATACATTCGTGTTGAAAAAGAAAAATAACGTGACAATAGCCGAAAAGATGTCAGGGAGAAACGATAATCATCAAGATTTGTTCGAAGAGTTAAATGGGCACGCGCGCCCACACACACACACACATCCATCCATACATACACACCATACACATAAACTTGCATACACACACACACACACACACATGTACACAAATTTCTCTCTGTTTTACACTCGCTCTCGCCGTTCGCTCGACAGAACGGAGGTGGGTCGTCTCCGTTTACAACGCTAATTAAAACATTTTTGAACCTTTAACAACACACCGGCGGCGGTGCATATATTTCCTTTGTGCTTATAATCGCATACATATACCTGTAATACGTATGTATATATATATATATATTTTATACGTATAAACACTGGGCGCACTTACCTCATCCTCTTTACCTATACAAGCACACCGTGCTTGCAGTGTGCGAGAGACTGGTAAGTAAAACATACACACACGCGAGCGCGCGCACGTTTTGTTATTATTTTCCACCGCGGCGAAAACTTAACTCGGCTTTATCTAATAAACTAATAATCCACGGTACCCCGCCACCGCCGGCTCCTCGTCGCGCCAAATCCCTCCAAGTCGTCGTAAAGTTCCATCACTTTCGAAAACATTTTATCCGAACGTACGGTCGGTGTGCGCGAGTGCGCGCGTGTGTATGTACACATAGGTACCTACCTACCTACTCATGCGCGAGCGTATTATAATAATATAGTTTTAATTAATCACGCTAACGACCGGATGAGCCGGTACGTGTAGATTTACGCGTGTGTGCATATAAACTGTGCAAATTCGCCGGTATATTATCACTGTACATAATAATAATAATATTAATATAAAAGAGAGGATAAGAGAGATATGAGTGCAGTGAGTGGTGTTTAGATATCGTTCCAAAACAGTGGGCGTGATTTAATTTTCGTAGTTGAACCTGAGAGAAATTCGACCTCGTCGTGAAATCATGAACGATATATTACGAACGAACCGGAACGCCGCCGCTCAAGTGTCGTTCGCTCGCTCTTGTACATACCAATAAGATGTACACTCACACGCCCGTCCTTCTCGCGACAATCAACCATGAGTGGCGGATCAACTCATCTATAAATGTTTGTTCACTTCACCGCGCGCAATCTTTTGAAAATCATCGTACTGCCATGTTATACGAAATTACCGTCACGGGAATATGAGGATGTAAAAGTTAGAACACACAAATAATATTTTACATTTATATAAATTTTCACAAAATATTATAATATAACGCACGGCAATACCCGATTTCCCATAACTCGACTACCTGATTAATATTATATATTCTATCGACCACTTGAAATACACCGCATTTATGTACTTAGGTGAATGTTTTGTAGTCGCCATAACTTATCATTTATTTTCACTGGGTCTGTGGTTAGGTCAACTTAAAACCACCCTAATTTAACGATCGTTACTTCAAAAAATAATAGATTTAACGGTAAATATACCGTGAGAGTGTTTTCTTCCATCGTTTGATCATTGCTGCGAACACCGAATATAGCTTTTATGAATTGTAACGATCTTATTATTATTATTATTATTATTATTGCCATAAAATAAAATATTAATTTTTATTTTTAAATAAGAACTTAAAAAAAAGTTTTTCTACCGAATATAATTATTGACAAGCTTTTAAAATATTTCGTTTGTACTATAATTCAGTTTGTATCCTACATAAAAAACCAATCGTAGTCTTCCAATCTATACAGAATTTAGATGAATGATCGTAGATACATTTAATTTCAACGATTGAAAATTTTGATCGTTGAGTAGTTTCGCTGTAATAATTGTGTTAATCATTATTTCCAGTTTTACGATAGATTTTTCAAATCGTACTACGAGCTTAAATTACTGCAATATACGCTATATATATATATATAAATCTAGCAAAGCATTATTACGCGTAAAACCTACTCGTGAATAATAAATAGATTGATTAAACAAATTACGAGTACGTATGATTATTTTAAGCAAATTAAAAATGTCTTCGCGGAGCGAACATAATGACTGGCATCATCTTTACGACCGTCGATTGACAACGTTCCTTCTCATATGATATATGTTGACAGTGACGGGCAGTCACGCCCGTCCAACACCTCTCATCCGTACCACATCTATAATAATAATATTGTAGTTATCGACTTGATAAATTGGTCCGTCAACGCATGACTGAAAAACAAAAAAAAAAAAAAAAACGTGAATTCGATAACAATAATACATTATTATTATTTATTATTACGTGACTATTCTATTTATTCGCTCGCTCGTTCCGTACTTGTCGGTTTTCGTCGCATTCCGTTACACGATATATTATAATATAAGCATACACACACACACATATCGTTTAACATAAAATGATTTATCAAAACGTGCGATAATAATAATAATGCAACGCGATATAACGCGCAGACAACACTGTCGGCTTTTGATTGATTCTGCCGGAAATGTCGGACAGACCGTGTGTGGATTTATGGAAAAAAAAAAAAGTTCACTCAATAACACGCATTGCGGGTCAAGTGAAAAATGACCACCGTATTTAACCACATCATGGCAACCGTCTGCTGTGCATAAATCATCAACATGCGACGTGGACGAGTCACATTGTAAACCGGGTATGGAGATGAGGGAAGGGACAGTCGTGGTACACCTGTGCATCACGTTTGTTATTCTTGCAGTAAAGGTCGAAAAAAACTAGATGAGAAACGATTACGTACGACGAAAACATCGAAGGCAATAAAAAAAAAATACGAGTAAAATTATGCACTACACCGTTTGCGATTGATATGTATACGAGAAAATCTTTTTTAATAACAATAGAATTGGAACCGATATAAATTTAATACAATATGATTATGAGTGACGTGCTGCACACACGCGTTTTTTCGGTTCATTTATTGATGGTTTTCGAACGTGATGAATCGTGTATTCGATTCGTTTGATTTCGAAATGACCAAGTCTACGATTAGGAAGCTTCAAACTGATTACGTATTAGCTATCGTTTTGGTTAATGACTGTGTAGTGGTGTATCCAGGATTCATTTAACGGGGATGTTTTAAAATTTAATCAACTCATGGTAAGTGTGTGCATAATAGTTTTTATTCTTCCACGTGCGGTAAACACAATAAATCGCTTACGAGTTTCAGCATTATTTTTTATTTAACTACTGCGAGACCAAGCAAATTAAAAATATGTTCTCTACCGGAAATTATTATTTGCTAGATTAAATAATACTTGTCGACAAATAAAATTATTTTCATTTTTAAAATAAACGTTTAGAATGGTTTTGTCAACATGTAACGAAGCAGACTCGCGCTGTAATTTGTTTACCAATGTGATTCGATTATTTCATAAATCACATTTAGGGGATTTTTGATTTTTAACTCAAAACTCAAATCTGTTTTACATGTGTAAACAATATTTTGAGAAAAACTTTTGCATTTGTAAATGTCAATGCAAATTTAACATTTGAAAGATGTCTTGGCGCAAATCGCATCTATTAAAAAAATAAAAATACACCAGAGTACAGTCACCTAATTTGTCACAGTTATCGCACATCGTATTTTTCATAATAAGAAAAATATAATTTCCCTTCTCCATTACGACAAAGTTTTTTTTTTTTTTTACATCCCCTTACTATATTTGTGTTTTGATATTCCGAACAGGGCTTTTATCTTGCCCGGCAACAACAGGTCTTCCGGCTGAATACTAAATAAGGACACTTAAACGCATTAAAGTTGTCTTTGGAAAGAAATTCCATATTTTTGTTTCCTTCCCCATAGAAAAGAAAACGTTATTTGATATTGTTCTTAATGTTTCACGTCAAACTCGGCATACCAAATGTCTTTTGGTCTTTAAGTAAAAAAAAAAAAAAAAATAAATAAAATAAAAAAGAACGCCGTAGTTTTCTGATTCGATCGTAAAAGAAGAAGAAAAAACTCCGGGCCAGACAATATACAAGACTATAAAAAGCGGAAAAAAAACTCTTTGCGTCTATGGTAAAAAAGAAAAAGCTATGACGTGTCTGGGTAAACTTTATGGCAACCACAGCTATAATATTATTTCGTAACTGCATTTTAAACCCCGAAAACTCATAAACTAAGTGATCCGTACGCGATCCCTTAACGTTGTTGAATATAACGTAATCCGATGTGAGAAAAAAAATTCTGGAAATTTATTATGATCAATCCGATCACATTGCCTAATATATTTTAATAGATTAGTATAATATACCAAATTATATATAATATACCAAATTATATCGTAATACTGCGTTGAAAAATGAGACATATCCGAACTTTTAGAATTAGTTTATAAATAAAAAAGTTTAAAAAAAAAGTGTAACAATTTTCTTTGATTTTTAGAAATTATGACAATGGACGTCAAAGCTAGTCAAGTAGCGGCAAGCACAGCTACCAAATCGAGTGGGAATGTCGGTGCTTCCGCTGCAACGGGAGGCCAGGAATGCGCTGGATGTGGCAAACACATAACGGATAGGTAAACACGAAAAACGTATAGGTATTAGAAATTAATTCATATTATCCGAAAATCATGAAATTCCAGATTTCAGATTTTCGGATTTTAGAATTTTGAAATCCAAATTATATTTAGACTTTAGAATCCAAATTTAGGGTTATAAAATTATAATCAGAGTATCACATTATTTTGTATAAAACCTAAATAATTTTCACTATATAACAACTAATCTATTGAACACCTATTCAACTTATTCTAGTTAAAATCTATATATATATATTTATTTATTTATATTATGTGTTTGTTCCATTGCAGGTTCTTGCTGAAGGCACTCGACCTGTTCTGGCACGAAGACTGTCTAATGTGCGGATGCTGCGGCTGTCGGTTGGGTGAGGTTGGGTCCACACTGTACACCAAGGCGAACATGATCCTGTGTAAAAAGGACTACTTCAGGTATTTAACGGCGCGGGCACGGCGCGGCACGGCAAACCGTACGATGCTATTACTGAATGACAGGTTTTACAGGATGTTCGGCAACAAGGGCATGTGCGCCGCGTGCTTCAAAGACATACCCGCGTTTGAGATGGTCATGCGGGCCCGCAGCAACGTGTACCACTTGGAGTGCTTCGCGTGCCAGCAATGTAACCACAGGTAAGGTATCTTGTCGTTTGTTATATCCATTACTCGCGTGCCCCGATGGTTACTGCAGAAGGACGCTCGCGATCCCGCTAACTCGACTTCGTGGTCAAAGGGTCGCCGGGATAACTACGTGCACGATGATATCAGCGTGTGAATCGCACGTTCGAGTGTCCGAATTAGAATTTCGAATTCGTATTGAATGATGTCGCACGCGGATAATCGACGGCATCGCATCGCCGACGTGCGTTTGACGGAGTCCGACACAAAAGCCCGAGCGTGTAAAGAGTCGATTATTGTTTCTCAAATTCGCTCGTTTTGGACGACATCGTTTGGTTCCGACATTGGCGAGCGTTCGAAAAGGAACGTGCATCGATGGGAAACGCTGCGATACCGTTTTTTTAAAACGAATTTCGATTTAATTTCGACCGGTGGCACCGACCGTTTGCACGGAATGACGAACGATTCACGGGCGGAAAAAAGAAAACGGGGGCGAGGGAAAGAAATCATGTTCCAAAAATCGGTATCATTTCAACACCGTTTTGCATACGGCAAACACTACGGAGCATATAGTGCATCGTACAATGGCCTCGATGCGAAATATTAAACCAGGACGTGACACGCCGAACGTACGTGCACCGCGAGAAGTGAGCATCCGTCCGCCACCGGTGTCCGAAAGTGCGCGGCTATCGGAATTAGCGACTTTATTCCCGGGTACGTTCATACACGTGGACGAGCGCGTACAACGTACAATATGTACGTCGCTTATCGATATGTGACAACATGTGCGCGGCTAATTGACATGTGACGTATTATCATTATAATACGTCCAATACGCGCACGCGCACATGCGTACCCGCCGCGTGTTGTATATTTACACGCCGTGTAGTAATAACGTACAGAACGTATACGCGCGGCAGCGGTGGCAATTACGAGAAAACAATAACTCATATCTGTCCCGCAACAATATTCCGGCCCGCGCAACGCCTGAAGGGGTAATATTGTAATTCGCGTTGCCCAGCATTGTCACGGCTCTTTATTCCCTTTCACTCCGATTAATTAATACACACGCATACGCGCCGGATGCATGCGCGGGGATGCTCTCGGTTACCACTGCAGCTACTGCCCGCGGATTAATTAAATTTCATCCCCAGATCCAGTAAACCCTGTGCAAACGATTCCTTTTATTCCGCCGCCGCACGGGCATTCCACTACCGCGGCGATGCGCGGGCTGACACTCCGTACGGTCTGACGCGACCAAACCCCCGTCGCCGCCGCGTTACGCGTTCTCCTCGTCTCCCGTCCGAAACTCGTCACCGTGGTGGATATTATATTTCAAAACGACAGTGCGCTGCCCACCTCGTCTACCGCGTCATCGACATCGGTTCGGCACACCTACCCCCCAAGCTAACGGCCCCATCCGGTAGCAGTAAAAATCCACTGCGACAAACACGGGAAATAAACGACGACCCCCGTCCGGTGAGTACTGGCCGTGGGACCACCATTGAATCGTGTCAAATATATTAATAACGCTATGAATCACCGTAATCGTGTATACGCGTATCGCGCAATCAGCTGAGGCACATACCATCTCTGGGGGTTTTCGAACCTAAATTGTTTTTGAAACCAGCGCCGTTGGACAATATCGCGAATCGGTCAGCAATTTTAATTTTCGATCGCCAATCCGTTCGGCGGACGGTGCATTCAATTTTCTAATGTTTACTAACTTTAGCCCAACTGTTATCATAAATAACACCTATAGTACAAAACACCATAACAAAAATTAGAAACTTCTATAATTACCCAACTTTTTATTGCCTTAATATACGAAGAAGATACTTAAGGGAGTCTAAAGTATCGCAACCGTGTACGCTGTAGTATCATATTAAAACGCAACGATATAAAAATTGAACAATACTTCTCTAGGGCTTTCATTTTGTTCTTATATTAAATATCAACAATTCAAACACACACAAAATACTCTCCGTCAATCATCCAACGTAGTGCAGCAATAGTAATCGTAAATCATAGTAAATAATCTAGCACGAACATTTTAATACGATTACTTATACAAATATAATAAACATATTGCGTAGTTAATTTCGGTTAAGTATTTCACACGATATGATGAAAAATATTTTTAAAATCGATTATTTTTAGTATAATTCAGATACTAAATAGGACTGCTGTTCGTTTAATCAGCCCAATATGTTACATTACTTAATTTATCTTTTTTTTTTTTTTTGGCAAAATATTTTTACTTTTTATATCATAAATTAAAAATTATCGAAATACAACAAATATCAGATTAAATACCAGATACTCATAAGGATGGCTATGTTTGAAAAATTCAAGGTTCTTTTTTAACGAACCTTAAGTTATTATTTTTCAGAAAAAACGTAAATCAGTATATTTTGGTTATATATATATAAATATTAGTTCAGCAAAAGTTTTTAATTATAACGGTGTAGAAATATTAAATTGTTACGTATATTACTCGTATTATTATAGTCGATTAAAATCCATCTTACTTTGCAGTTGTTTTATAGGGCCTTTATATATATATATATATATATATATATATATATATATATATGTTTTTAAATACTATTAATTAATTCTAAAATACGCTCATTTTAACAAAAAAAAAAAATAAGTTCCAGTTTCATGGCGGAGTCATTAATCAAGAACTTATCTCTTTCTTCCCTTATATACTTAAGCACACATAGTTATCATTTTACCGTTTTCAACTCTCCCTTCTATTTTGACGATAACGTCATTATTATGATTCATTCTGTGGAAATGGGATTTTTTTTGCAAAAAAAAAAAAAAAATGTTTAAATAATAATAGAAAAAGTATGTAATATACTTACACATTCTTTTATTTTTTTTTACGTTTTATTTGATAAAACTATAAAAACCTTATATAATTAACATTTTGAATATAATTATTATAATATTACACTTAACTGAATATTATTTTCATATTCATTCACTTTTAAATTACTATTAACATTCACTATATACATATACATATGTATATTTTATAACTGTATAGCGAGAAAATAACTAAGAAAATAAAAATAAGAGATGGAAATGAAAATGTTTATAAGACCCGACTGAATCTGTGAAAACTGTAAAATCCAAATTACTCGTAACATAATATTCAATAAAACGAAGCCGGTTATATTGCGAACGAACGGTTGTTTTTCTACTCCATGTGTGTGTGTTTGTGTGTGTGTATGTGTATGAGTGTGATGTTCATGACGTCAGAATGCTGAAATATCGGTTTGAACATCGATATAGAAACTCGTGAAGAATGGTGGAGATGTGTGGAAACGATAGTGAACGATTATCGTGATTGACGATCACAATAAAAGTGTAATCATCGAGATTTATTAATTTTTATGCGCTATTGCTTCTGAAATAGAAACTTGGTTGAAGCGTTTAAATATAATAATAATTACATATAATAATATATATTGTTGTACTTGTGCATAACAATGAATCATCGAAGTTGGATTCCGATTTATTAAAAAATTGAATATATATTATATTATAAAGTAAGAACCAATGTTCAGATTTTAAATCATTGAAAACTACTGAAATATGCACTATAATATGTTATAAAGACATCGAAAATAGCATAAAAAAAATTAAATCGAAATGTAATTTAATTTATCCTTTTTTACTGACAGTTTATTTTATCTTTTGAATTAATTTGTATAATATAATCTTATGAATTAATACGTTCATAAAAAAAAGCAAAAATTACCTCTTCTTCTGTTAACAATTAAAAATACTTAAAACAAAAAACAGTCAATTTTTCTTATCATACCTTAATTATTACTATTTTCCATTCGATACAAACAATATTTATGATAAAATACAAAATAAAAACTTATGTTATCAATGTGTATTAGCAAAAATGGCACAAAAACTTCTAAACATCTAAAATTTTTTAAATACGCAAAAAAAAAAATGTTCGTTTTTTAAGTCTCTGGTGAGCGAAACAAATTTATATGTCACTTTTCTATTTTCATCAATGTTCGCATAACAATTAGCAAACGCTGTAGAATCCGAACGCTGGTAATAACAATCGTGATGTGACGCGATATAATATCATATCTGCTACAGCGCGACGGTCGTAGAGAGATGTTGCGGTCGGATAACGGTATGAGCTGTGGGCGACGGTTGGTGCGGTTGGGGCCGAGTCCCGGCAGAAAGGACCCGCCGAAGCGTGGGCAAACGGTCGCCGCCGTCATCGCAGTCGTATGGCACGCGGCGTGTGCATGTGCTGCAATCGGTTCAGACAGGTGGAAAATAAAAAAATAATAAAAAACAAGTCGGCTGACGACAGTGATAATCGAGTGGCGGCGGCGGCGGCGGCGGTGAAGGGTGTAATTGAATTGTCACCGGCAACTCGGGGAGACTAATTTCGCATCGTCTCCCCACCGTTCCTGTCGCCGATATACGACGATCGTGAAATCGGGCAAAACGCAAATAGTAACCGTTTCCCGCAACTACGGGTACAAAACCCACCCCCTCGTACCACTGTCGTGACCCAGGGTTTTCGCAGTTCTCCGCAGACTCTCTATCTTTGTCTCCGTCTGTCTATCTGTCTGTCTGTATGTCTGTCTTTCTCTCTCTCTCGGTTTATTATTTCGATTATTATGTTATTATATAAAACACCCTGCACCCCGGGCACTTCGTACGCAGCAACCCGACGAGTATGTAAATGTAACGATGTGTCTACTCGTTTTCTGCACGACTTTGTTTCTTTTTTCCCCTCTACCACTACCCCTAACACGAATCTATAGAACATGAGCCTGCTCACCCCGTCCGTCACATTTAACATTTGAAAACCATCGTTCTCTCACGGTATTCTTTGTACGTCGCGTACAGCAGCCGTCGACGCGACATTTCGGCCAAGCCGAAAACGATTGTTTTCATGACGAACACAACGTACAGTTTAATAATTATCATTCGATTCGATATGCAGCGGTAGTAGCGTT